CACGCACAGGCATGTCCGTGGCCACCCCAGCCCATCCCAAGCACAGCCCTCCGCCCCCACCAAGACACTCACCTCTACAGACCCTGCAGCACTGGTTCTCCGGAAGAATGTGATCCTTCTCTGAGCAGTTCAAAGGAGGACATGCCTCTGTGATTTTGACTAAAACTCCACCCTGGAAGTCAAATATCAGGGAGAAAAGAAGATGTTCGTGGGTTTAGTCAATGGTACACACTAATAAGACTTCATAATAACTGTTCATTGCCCTGCAGTGATAACAACCTACAACCATGACCAGCACTCTAAGCAATTCCACTAATAATGAGAACAGCGCGAACTAAACTGACGAGACTCCTGAAAAGGCGAATTCGGTGGACGTTTTCCACATCAACTGAGCCCAATTTCAGATTGCTTAGGATCCACCATAGTGTCCGCTGTGAAGGATGTGACAGTGCTCGCTCATACAATTTTAACAACTGACTTGAGAAGAGGAGGCCTCATCATAAGGTTCACTGATTTCTGTCATGTCAGTACCCTCACAAGGGTGGATTCTGAACTGTCAACATGATGATACCAGAGAAAGCAGAGCTGGACAGCTCCATGCCATTTTCTTTTTTTAATTAATTTTATTGAGAAAGAAATAGCAGTGAGACAGTTTCAAAACAGGTTAGTAGGGCAGTTACAATAATTAATACATTTCATATTGTTGTCTCCATCGTAGTCATTCATAGTACAAGATGCAGACATGGTATCTCGTTTAAACACTGTGTTGTAACCTAACAGTATCATTATGCTTCTCTCCATACCATTTTCTTATGTGTGCCAGTTGCAGCACTCTCCTGGGTAACAGGCACTGCAAACTCAAAGGTGAAGAAGACATCTGCTTTATTTTTAATTTCTGATTTGCCTATGTCGTTCAGGCTGGCCTTGAACTCACTATGTGGCCCAGGGTGGCCTTGAACCTGTGACAATCCTGCCGCCTCAGGCCTCCTGAGTGCTGGGTGACAGGCTTGCGCCACCACAGGCAGATATATCCTCCTTGCTGTTAATAAGCTCACTGTCTAGGTGGAAAGAGACAAAATCTCCTTAAACCATAAACCATAATATAGTCCAGCAAGTCCTAAAAAGATGTGCTCTAATAAAAGGATTATAGGATGTCATGGGAGAGTAATTAATTCTACCCAGATGGGAAGAAACTACAGAGATGCCCCATTTAAGGAAAATTGAATGATGAGAAAAAAAGAAGAGCCCTCACTGGCAGAGGAAATAGAAGGGGCCGAGTTATTCAGGTGTGAAGGAAATAAAGGAGGGTCAGGTAGATGAGCACTAGATTTTCCCTAGATATAAATAAAATCACTTACATAAAATGTTCAAAATTCGGCAGCTGCATCTTTATGATCTCACTTCACCTAAGGTCCTCTTTGTTGGCATTACTAGAATCTGTACTTAGTTTTAAGTAGAATCTTTAAAAAATGAATCCATTAATTACAGTCTTTAAGCAGGCTGGAGAAGCCCTCATCCTACCCAAAACATATAGCTTTTCTCTCCCATGCTTAGGAAGATGTTTAAGACAATCAAGAAACTAACTTAGAAAAGGAATCTCACTGAAGGCCAAAAGGCAGCTCCAAACTCAGAGGGGAGAACAGCACAGGACAGAGCAGAGAGTCCACAGTGGTGGTGGTGACACCAAATCGCCCCCTCTAAGATACCCCATCACCTTGCACCCCAGAACCCGCATGGTTCCCCAGCTGAGCAAAAGCTCCCATTTCATCTGCCAGCAGGCTCTCACATATGGACATACATAGCACCTTCAATGTCAAATGTGAGCTTGCAGCTACTCTTCCTCCAGGCAACTTGTTTACAGTATGCCCCCTTCTCTTCTCTTGGAACCTCCCACCCAGATGGGCCAGCGTTCAGCCCTCCTCATGTGTCTTCCTTTTCTTCTCCTTTGTTCTGCATTTCCCAACCTCTCACTTTTCTCCCAGATCTATCTTAGAATTGGCCCTAAATCATGAAAATTGATCTTGTCACTGACTGGCCACACTTTTCCCTGGATACATCCTCCCTCCTCTCCCAGTCACAGGGGCAGCATCAAATCTCAACAGTCAGCACCAGGACTAACTCCAGTGTCCTTATCTGATGTGCCTCAGTTTCCCCAACAGAGAATTCAACCAATGAATACAAGCCAATAGAAGTTAATAACCATACTATAACGAACATAGAGTAGTACACTGTAAGACAAATGCTGAATTACTTATTATTATTATTATTATTATCTCTAATCCTAATCCTATCTGTTAATATATTTACTCTGATCCATGCTGTCCTGGCATAAGTATGAGTGGTGGTTATTGCTGAATCCCTTTTCTTTGTTCTATGTGCCCACACTCAAGTTCTTTGTTCCTAAGTGTTTGCCTCACAGAGTCACCCTCACAGAGTTGCCCTTGGGCCCTGGAACCTTGGTAACCAGGAGCCAGAAGTTAGCTACAAGTCTGAAGCCACAGAATAGCAGAGAAAGTGTGTTACACAGAAAGGACACTCTCTGGGCTGTCACTGATGTTCTAAACACAGTAGTGGAATCAGGCTAGATCTCCTCTTCCACCAGGAGTTCCGATTTTTCTCACCTTTGCCCGCTGCCCTGTGGCTTCCCACACAGCCTGACTGCTTTCTCCTGGGGGCACTGCAATAATAAATCTTACTGGGCATCTCAGCTCAAGTCTCCTTCTGGGAGGACCCAAGCAAAGATTATTAAGAACTTTACTCTTGGGCTGGGGAGATGGCTCAGTAGAATAAGCGCTTGCCTGGCAAGCGCAAGGTCCTGAGTTCAATTCCTGGTGCTGTAAAAAAAAAAAAATTACAACTTCACTCTTACTATTGAAAATTGAACTGATAAAACAGATTGGCTCGCCAGGGATATAGCTCAGTGGCACAGTGTTTGCCACACAAGTGCAAGGTCCTGAGTTCGATTCCTGGTACCAAAAAAAAAAAAACACATTATCTCTATATGGTAAGATTCTGGAGTAATTTCCATTTTTTTCCTTAGAGGTCTCTTCTCTAAACTCCAAATATTATAACATAAGTATACACATGTTTTATATTTCAAAAACACTACAGTAGACTTCTTAAACAATCTCCCGAGAAAGCTTTTTTCTTTTTTATAAAATGGACTTGTTGATTAGTCAGAAATTCTAATCAATTTTTAAATATATAATGAGTAAGGTCATAACTCCAAGTGTTGAAACAGACAAACCTTTTTCACGAATTTCAAGGTAACGGGAACTGTGATTACTGTTGTGTAAGTGACCTTACATGCATCTAGTCCGGCTACACAATTAGACGTGAACCTTTATTAACTTTATTTTGCAAACAATCTCCTGCCAGAAAGTGTGTCTAATTAACACTTTCAAATCTTCCTGATTATAGTCCGTCATTGCATGACCTCTCTATTGAGCTCTACATTAGTGCAAAAATGTAATTCTTCCGGTTTGGGATTTTTTTTTTAATTTCTTGGAGTGACTGCGTCCATGTTATCTGTCAATCACATAAAAGCCCTTTTAAGTCCTCTACTCACCACTGCATTTCTAACACATAAAACAAACAGCTTCCAGTCAAAAGTTACCGCCAAGCAAAAAAAAAAAAACAACATTACGAGGAAGCAACTAAGGGAGAAAATAACAAGACCACTAAGAGTTTATTCTTCTAGATTTTTTTTTCTTCAGAAACAATATATTAACTGCTGGAAATACTTGGCAGACAATTTGAAGGAAAGTTGGTCTATTATTTCATTGATATGGCTGAAGCTCTCAAACTAACCCCTGAACTAGGAGTGAAGGGGTGTCCAGTGGCCTCCTGCCAACGAGGCATCTTTATCGGAGACACAGAGCGCACAAATGATTTCAGGACTCGTTTCCTCTGCTCACTCAAGGATAGTACTGACACAGCTCCACTACAGGCGCCTAAGAGAAAAGCGAGCCTGTTGCATAAAGTAGAAGCCATACAGCTTTAGGGCTGAACTCTTAGCCAGGCTGCCTGGGAGAGACCAGGAGGCCTCTTCCCTACACCTCTCCCGCTCTCCCCTACACCTTCACCCTCTTCCTTACACACCTCACCTTCTCTCACCCTCTCCCCCTGCACCCCGCGCCCCCTCTTCCTACACCTCTCTCCCTCTCTGTCTGCTGATCACACCCACTAAATATGCTGCAAGCTCTTCCATGGCCACCAAGAAGCGCTATCAAGCCATCAGGCCCCTCTGACCAGTCTCAGACAGACCGAGAGGCGATGGCTCAGTCTTTCAGAATCTACCCCTCTAAACTTCGGAGATGACGATTACCTCCACTTAAGTCTATAAGTACCGGGAAGGGCAGTAGAGAGGCTAAGCAAGGCAGCCCGAGAGCCAGACTGCCAAGGTCCAGACTCCAGCCAGCTCGCTCATTCGCCCATCGCACAGCCTTGTCTGTGCCTCGACTTCCATCTGCACAGGACCTGGTCCAGAAGGCCACGATGAGTTTACATGGGGCCATATGCTTCACACGCCCTAAATGTTATCTAAATACTGGTGGGTGATTAAGAAAGGCTAAACATTATTGTCAATGGCCTTTCTATCTGTGTACGAAATAACTATTTCAAAAATAATTTCAGGAAGAGTAAATAAAAATTAATGACTCTTAAAAGAGTGAAATTATTCATGTGCACACCCACACACCCACACGTGTGCATGCACATACCACTTGTGCAAAGAGCATGACCTGTGTGTCCCAACTTCCTTGGAAACTGTACGAACAACACAAAAGCACAAAAAGGCGGCCCAAAGATCTGGAGCAGTGCCTTTCAGACAAGCTGGCCTTAAAGCCAAGCCCCTGGCTTCCATAGGTCCTGTAGGTGTCTGCCTCGACTCTCTGAAGACAGAAGAGATCAATTCACAATGACCTTACTAAAGTCACCCGCTGCTTCTGTGAAAGCGGTTGCTAGCTACAAGTGACAGATCTGGAGCAGGTGCTGGGATCGTGGCAGAGTAGGCAAAATTGCCTTTAATCATACCAGCTCTCCCTGTTGTAGAAGGTAAAAGTGAGGGATTTAGAATCTAAATCAATCCCTCTCACCTAGAAGTGAAACAATCTACGGAGAACCTGAGCTTAGTGCTCAGGCATGGAGAACATGTGTGGGCCTTTGAAGCGG